ATATATTAAACCCCACTCAAATGTCCACTTTAACTGGATGAATTGAATGGCCTATGAATTTTATGTATATTTTATGCATACATAAAATATAATTATGTATTGTATTTTGTAACAGTACAATTATTATAACTATGAAAGTAAGGATGAAAATATTTGAAAGGGTGAATGAATTAAAATTAAATAAGGGTTAGAGAGATAATACAGCAGATAAGATGTTTACTGTGCATGTGACTGATCCAGGTTTAATCTCAGGTACCACATATGGTCTCTTGAGCACCATCAAGAGTAATAGAGTAGGACTAATCCCTGAGCACAGCAAGGTGTGCACTCCCCCCCCCAAAAAGTAACAACAAAACATTAAATAAAGATTAAAGAAAAAACAGAGAGAAAGAAGGTTGTACAACTCTTCAAGTTACTAATAACTCTTTTTTAGAAGCCTTATTTAATTCTGAGAGGGGGTTGCTTTCAGCAGACAAATTATAATTAGGGTGAAGGATGGAATATAAATAATGATTTTCATTTTTGGCTATGATTCTAAGCATTAAAATGTTTTTCTCGGTATTTTTATGCAATGTTTTGAAGCCTAGGCTGCCTGTTATTCAGTTTTCCAACTCTATTTAACTTTGGCTGGTTTGAGTTAGTAAGAGGACATATTATGGCAAAGGACAATCATGACATCAGTACCAATAGGGCTGCCAAAATTCTGGGGGCCTTATGAGTTGCCTCATGCTTTGCAAAATCCAAATCACACAACACTAGGAGTAGAGGTCTTGCTAGCTGGTGCTATGCTTGGGAGGATTCTGTGTTTCAGTGCCAAAGGTGAAAACATTTTGGCCAGAAGTGGTTGATTTAACTCAACTGCAAGGGCAATTTCAGTAGAGTTGAATTTCAGGCCACACTAGGTGAGATTTCCTAAGAAAAATAGTCCCAAACTGAGATCACTATAGGGACCAGGCAGGTAAAAAAGTAAGATAATATATGCAGGGTTCAAAGGGAGATCAAATGGAGGCACCTCTGCCTTGTTTCAGGTGAGCAAACGTGAGACACCCAAGCTGTTTATTGGCATGTAGAATGAAGAACCAGAGCCTCCAAACCACTTTCTGATTTTTCAAAAGAAACTGACTAAAGAACATTTTTTTTGTGGGACAGATACATCCAGAGGTTCTTGGAGGTTACTTTCCACAATGCTGAGGGAACCATGTGGTGACTGAGACCAAACCCAAAGCTTCTACTCTTTAAGCAATGTTCCCAGCCTCAAAATAAAGGTTTCTTATTGTTTGTTTGTTTTGTGTAATCACACACAAATGTGGCCTCCTGATTCTGTGTTCAGGGATCACTCCTGATAGTGCTCAGGGGACCATATATAGTGCTAGGGATTGAATTTAGGTCAACTGTGTGCTAGGCAAGTGTGCCTTATCCACTGCACTATCTTTTTTGTTGTTGTTTGCTTTTTGGGTCATACCCAGCGATTGACAGGGGTTACTCCTGGCTCTACACTCAGGAAATACTCCTGGCAGTGCTCAGGGGACCATATGGGATGCTGGGAATCGAACCCAGGTCAGCTGCGTGCAAGGCAAATGCCCTACCCTCTGTGCTATCTCTCTAGCCCCATCCACTGCACTATCTTTCTCAGACCAATATAAGGATTCTTTAACACTAACATTTTACTTTATAAACATTATTATCTGATTAGAATAAAGGGCTGGAGCGATAGCACAGTGGGTAGGGCATTTGCCTTGCATGCGTCTGGCTGACCTGGGTTTGATTCCTCTGTCCCTCTCGGACAGCCCTGCAAGATACCGAGAGTATCTCACCCGCACGGCAAAGCCTGGCAAGCTATCCGTGACGTATGCTATATGCCAAAAAGAGTAACAACAAGTCTCATAATTTGTTGTGAGATGTTACTGGTGCCCGCTTGAGCAAATGGATGAACAATGGGAGGATAGTACAGTACAGTACAGATTAGAATAAAAAGTGTAACAACCCTGGAATTGAAAATATTTGCTGGGCCAGTTAGCATTTCCACAAACAATAAATCAATTCCCACAATGAATCCCTGCATCAGTGCCAGCACAGGTTGTTCTTACTCTGTGATATAAGGCGATATCTCATTGTTGTTTTGATTTGCATCTCCCTGATGATTAATGATGTAGAGCAGTTTTTCGTGTGCCTTATGGCCTTTTGTATTTCTTCTTTGAAGAAAATTCTGTTCATTTCTTCCCCCCAGTTTTTGATGGGGTTGGAGCTTTTTATTTTTATAAAGTTCTACCAGTGCTTTACATATCTTGGATAGCAATCCTTATCTGATGGGTATGGGGTAAATATTTCTTCCCGTTTTGTGGGCTACCCTCTGTATCTTGGTTACCATTTCTTCTGAGGGACAGAAGCTTCTTAGTTTAATGTAGTCCCATTTGTTTATCTTTGCTTCCATTTGCGTGGTCGGTGGTGTTTCATCTTTAAAGATGCCATTAGCCTCTGTGTGATGGAGGGTTCTGCCTGTGTTTTCCTCCATGTGCCGTATGGACTCAGTCCGATATTTAGGTCTTTAATGCATTTTGATTTGACTTTTGACCTTAGACAGAGGTCTGAGTTCATTTTTTTTTTTTGCATGTAGTTGTCCAGCTTTCCCAGCACCACTTGTTGGAGAGGGTTTCCTTGCTCCACTTTACATTTCTTGCTTTTTTGTCAAAGATTAATTGATCATACATTTGAGAGTCTGTGTCAGTATATTCAACTCTGTTACATTGGTCTGTGGATCTGTCTTTATCCAGCCTTTTTGGAAAACAATATAGATTTTCCACAAAAAAACTAGAAATTGAGTTTTCATGTGACCCAGCAATACAACGTCTGGGAATATATCCCCAGGGTACAAAAGCACACAGCAGAAATGACATCTTCACTTGTATATTTATTGCAGCACTTTTTACAATAGCCAGAATCTGGAAACTACCCAAGTGCCTGAGAACAGACAATTGGTTAAAGAAACTATGGTACATCTGCATAATGGAATACTATACAGCTGTTAGGAAAAAAATGAAGTAATGAAATTTTCTTGCAAATGGATGGACACGGAGAGTATCATCTGAGCAAAATAAGTCAGAAGAAGAAGTACAGACATAGAATAGCTGCACTCATTTGTGGGATATTAAAAAAGGTATGAAATTAACACTCAAGAACAGTTAGAAACAAGAGTTCACTATTGAAAACCTGCCTTAAGGACTGGAAGAGAGGGCATTTGGGATAGAAAAGGGACCGTTATGACAATGATGGTTGGAAGGGCTCGCTCTGGATGGAAGGTGTATGCTGAAAGTGGGTAAAGGAGCAAACATTATGGCCATTCAATATTGTACTGCAAACCATAATGCACAAAAGGAGAGGGGAGAGAGAGAGAGAGAGAGAGAGAGAGAGAGAGAGAGAGAGAGAGAGAGAGAGAGAGAGAGAGAGAAGAAACGTAGAGGTGGCTGAGGGGTGGATGATGGCAGGAGGGATATGGGGGATATTGGTGGTGGCAAACGTACACTGGTGGAGGGTGGGGGGCAGAACATTGCATGACTGAAACCCGGAGTCATGGTCCTCCTGTTGTTCATCGATTTGCTTGAGCGGGCCCAGTAATGTCTCCATCGTGAGACTTGTTACTGTGTTTGGCATATCGAATACGTCACGGGTAGCTTGCCGGGCTCTCCGAGAGGGGCAGAGGAATCAAACCCGGGTAGCTTGCCGGGCTCTCCGAGAGGGGCAGAGGAATCAAACCCGGGTCAGGCATATTGGCTGCAAGCAAGGCAAATGCCCTACCCACTGTGCTATCGCTCGAGCCCTGACTGAAACCCAATAACAAAAATTTTGTAACTGTATCTCAGGGTGATTCAATAAAAACATTTAGAAAAAAAAAGAAAAATATTTGCAAATCATGCATCTAGTGAGCGACATGTCTAGGATATATAAAGAGAGCTTACAATAGTTTTTTAAAAAGAACAATTAAAAGTGGTGAATGCACTGAAGAAAAACAAGTAACCAATGAAGAAATAAAATAAAGCTCAATATCATTACTTGTTCGAGAACTGCAAATCAAAACCATGATGAAATATCATTTTATATCCTTTAGAATGTCTGATTTAGAAAGAAAGACAATGAGTGTGGATGAGAATGTGAAGTAGGAATATTTATATACAGCTGGTAAGAACATAAAATGGCGAAGTCACGTTGAAAAACAATCCAGCAGTTCCTAAGAGGGTTAAATACTGAATCGCCAAATGACTCAACATTTTCATGTGTAGTATATACTCCAGAGAAATGAAAACATGTTCGCATAGAAACTTGTACATGAATGATCAGGTTAGCATTATTTATAAATATCCCCAAAGTGGAAACAAATTTCCATTAAATGATTAAAAAACAAAATAATATTTCATGCAGTGAATATTATTCCATATGATATTCCTATGTATAATTTATTTTGGACACTTTTGGATTATACACACTGGCACTTTGGGGGTATTCCTGGCTCTGTGATCAGGGGTTCTTGGTGATATTTCGGGGAACATACAATGCAGGGATAAAACTGGAGTTGATCACATCAAGGCAAATGACCTCTCTGTCCTCTTTCTGTCCCTGAAATTTTATTGTAGTGCATATTATTATTTTTTTGTAGTGCATATATTTGATATTAAAAGTAATCAAGTATTTATGCCTGCTACAACTTAGATAAAAATCGTGAAACTTGCAAAGTGAAGAAGGCCAGACACATTTATATGACATGACTTGAAGAGACAGATCCACAGATCCACAGAGGGATCCAAAAAAGTATCTATTATTGGTTTGCTAGAGTGGGGAGGGTGGAGAGTCACTGCTAACTGTCATATTGCTAAAGGTAGCTCAATTCTTTTTGGGCTAAATGAAGATGTTCTAGGATTGCTTGTGGTTGTACAGTTCTGGAAATATATTTTTAAAACATTAAATTGCTTACTTTATTTCATCATTTTAGAAAAATGTTATTGCCCTACCCCAATATGGAATGCTTTCTGAATTTGCCTGTCATCCTTCTGCAAGGGCCATGCTAACCTTTTACACAGTGTTCCAATTTTAGTATTCATGTGCTAAAATGCGTACTGAATTGCCTAACTTAAAAGGGTGAATGTATGATATGTAAATGATATTTGAATAATAATGTTACATGAAAAAGAACCCAGTGAGGGTCACACGAGACATTTCTTCCAGGATGCCAACTTCAAGTCCTGTGATTAAGACTCAACCACAACTTAGTCTGGAAGGGTCTGATGAAGTCTTATCTTCTCAGGAAATCAGAGTACAGTGTTTTGGACCAGTGCTATAGTCCCATGCCTATTTAGTGGGAGGCCCAGGGCCAGAAATGGTCTCTTGACTTCTAGGCCAGGCTCCCTCTATCCAAAGTTAAACTTTCAAGGTATAGCAAGTAAGGGATTGTGAGAAGTTAACATTTAGAACAGCTGGATTCTTTCTCTCTCTCTCTCTCTCTCTCTCTCTCTCTCTCTCTCTCTCTCTCCCTGCCTTCCTCTCTCCCTTTCTCTCTCTTCTCTCTCTCTTGCCTCCCTCTCCCCCTCTCTTTCCCTCTTTCTCTCTTTCACATTTTTGGGCCACACCTGAGTTCAGGGAACCATATGGGATTAGAACCCTGGTTGGCTGCAAGCAAGGCAAACGCCCTACCCGCTATACTGTCTCTCTCACTACAGACTCTTTTCTTTCCAACATTTTATAAATGTTTCTCAAAAAAGGATAAAATATCCCCCTGAGAAAGGGGCAACATATGGGGAAAATGAATAGTTCTAAGAGGAAGAGACAAACATCAGGTTTCCCTGAACCTTTTTTCTATAGCATGTGTGGTTCAGAGAATACTTACGCTGTATGTTTCTGATTCATTTACACTTAGCTCATCATTATGTTGTTTGTGGAAGAACCATTTGATGTCCAAGAAAGCCTCTGGGCCCCTTAAAGGTTTTCTTTCTTTCTTTCCTTAAAAAAATTTAAACCAGAGCTAAGCTTTGCCAAGAGTAAATGGAACTCAGATATCAAAAGGTCTTGAGTTCAGTTTTCATTGAATACAAAGGGTGAGTGGATTCTGAACTGAGCCAAATGCATTCTCCCACTCTTTAATTTACAGGACATCGTTTTGGCAGACTCCACAGTCCTGAAAGTTGGCTTTTTTTTCTACCATTCCTTTCTAGGGTGTAACCACAAGACTATCTTTCAGTTAACTTTACGAAAAATGAAGCCATGCTATAACCATTTATGAGATCCTCACTCATCACTGTTCCTGTAACAATCAATTTTATTAGAACGAATTGAAATGCTTGAAAAAGGTTAAAAACCTTCTCTAAAGTTTAATTTTTTTTGATAGCCTACAAGAATTTCCTCCCCCCCCCCCCCCAGCTTTCTTATCTGGCTATTTAATTAAAGGAGTGATTTTTTCCTCATACCTGCAACCAATGGTCTGCCCATCAATCCAATCATGTTGAATGTTGGAGGACTGTTATCACTTGTGGTAGTCAAATTCAGAGGATCAAACAGTCTTCATTCATTTCTCCAAAGAGAAAGGATCAGAGAAATAATTAGCACTTTGAGTTGCTTTTAAATTTAAATTATCTATAAGTAATCCCTAGGAACAGCCAGATGAAGATTACTCCAAGTTCTGTCACTTCAAGACAAGCACTAAACATTTTCTGAATCATTTTACTTTTGTTCTAAAAATTATATCTAAGTAAGTAAAGAGATAGGCATTTGTAGGTAGATGTTTAATTATGAAATGAGATATCACTTTTGTAATTTACTCTTTTGTTTGTTTTTGGGCCACATCCAGCTATGGTTAGAGCTGTATTCCAGCTCTGTGCTTGGGGATCACTCCTGGTGGTGCCTGGGAGACCCTGGGAGAGCAGTACTGAGCACTGAATTGGGATCAGCCCCATAGAAGGCAAGAGCCTTAACTCCTGCACTATCTCACTGGCATGTTACTTTTATTTTGGGGGTGTGGGGGGCATAATCAGTGGTTCTCAGAGGCTACACCTGACTCTGTGATTAGGGTTGCTGCCAGCAGTGCTTGGGGAACTGTGTAGTAACAGGTATTGAACCTGACTCATACAAGGCAAGCATCTTAAATTCCATTCTCTGTATTCAATCTCTTATCATCTACTTTTCCATTTATTAGTTTATAATTGTCTATGCTGGTGAATATAAATATATCAACTTTGAACATAAAATATTCAGTTGTAAGATGGATGATAAATACGTCAGTGACTAAATTTGTTTAATTGTAAGTGACAAGGAACCCATGTCAAACTGGTTTAAACACATAGTGCATTTTTGGGTTGACATCTGAAAAGTCCAGTGAGAGAGTTGGTTTTAGACTCGGTGGGATTCAGGGTTAAATAATAAGGTTTCTGCTTTTCTTTGTCTTGTTTTGAACTGTTTTGTTGGTGCTGTTCACAAGCCACATACAGAGGCAGAAGTGTCAGCTATTCCATCCAGGTTCTTGTTCTGGCAAAGGGCTAAGTTGTTTTAGAACTCATCTTAAAAACTGCTGTTCCTATGGTGACCTCTGAACCTATCCTCTGTGGGTTACACCTGTGTCACAGAAGATTCTGCAAATCCAAGAGTTTCACCAGGATCACCCAGACTGAGAAGAGAGTGGGAGGGAAGAAGAAAAGGATAGCTCTCCAGAGGAAAGTAGGAGTATGACTTCCAGAAGGAAATAATTTGATGCTGTGGATAGAATTATAATTCCGCAATTCATACATAACTTGGCGATTTAGCCCAGTTTATACTAAGTTTCCTAGGGTTTTCATAACAAAGTGTCATAAAGTGGGTGGCTTGAACAGAAATTTATCATCTTGCATTTCTGGAGGTTGAAGTCCAGTGTCAAAATGTTCATAGACTGGTTCTTTCTGAGGGTCAAGAATGAAAATATGGGGGATGGAGCAATAGCACAGCAGGTAGGGCGTTTGCCTTGCACGCAGCTGACCTAGGTTCGATTCCCAGCATCCCATATGGTCCCCCAAGCACCACCAGGAGCAATTTCTGAGTGCATGAACCAGGAGTAACTCCTGTGGATCGCCGGGTGTGACCCAAAAAGAAAAAAAAAGAATGAAAATATGTTCCATGCCTCTCCTAGTTCCTGTTGTTTTTCTCATTGCCATAGGCTTTCCTTGGTATATAGATGTATCACCATAACCTATGTTTTTATCATATCACATGACGTTCTGTATCCAAATATCTTTTCATAGATACCAATAATATTGGATTAGGCAAAATCCAAAATATTTAAAAATTACAACTTAATTGCAAACTTGTATCTTAATTCTGAGGTTGGTACTCCAACATATAAATTTTTGAGAGGGCATAGTTCAACTCTCGACATGTTTCCACACAATGATTCTGGTGTAATCAAGCAATTGAAGCTTTTTATAATTTTATGCCTCTTTCACAGCCCCTCCAATTATTCCTCCAGCCCTTCCTCTACACCCCAATTTATGGATTCTCTGGATATAAGACAGTCAAAACACATGGTCCGGAGGCTTATAGTTTAGAGCAGGTGACATACCCTCTCAAGGGGAAGCCACCTTGTTACATTCCTTGGGCTTTGATTGGGCTAAGATTAAGTATTTTTTTTTAATCTTTCTATTGAATCACAGTGAGATACACAGTTACCAAGTTGTTCATGATTGGGTTTCAGTCTTATAATATCCCAACCGCCATCTCTTCACCACTATACATTTCCCACAACCAGTGTCCCCAGTTTCCCTCCCGTCCCCTCCCCACTGCCTGCCTCTATGACAGGCATCCTCCCCCACCCCCCACTTTCCCTCTCTCTCTTTTTCCTTTTGGGCATTATGGTTTGTAATACAGACACTGAAAGGTTATTGTATATATCCCTTTACTACTTCCAACACTCAATTCTTGTCCAGAAGAGTGATCATTTTTAATGATCATAATCATCCTGGTCCCTTCTCCATCCGTAAGAATGAGTCTTATAAATACCTTTGTATTAAGAAGGGCCTCAGACCTTGATTAGACAGCAGTGGTCATTGGAGGGTACAGAATGATGCCTGCTTTAATCTACAGTGACCTTCCTCCTTACATGACCCTGCTGATGTTTCTCAGTCATTTTCTGTACTTTATAGATGTTCACTGTATATTTCCTTCTGCCTTATAAATATGCTATTTTTTCTGAAAAAGTTCCATGTATCATTTTGTGTGCATGTATCATTTTGTTACCAAAGTTTTACCTGTTATAAAAACCCAATTCTTTTCTTCTTCTTCTTCTTCTTCTTCTTCTTCTTCTTCTTCTTCTTCTTCTTCTTCTTCTTCTTCTTCTTCTTCTTCTTCTTCTTCTCTGCTTCTGCTTCTTCTGCTTCTTTTCTTCTTCCTCTTCCTCCTCCTCCTCCTCCTCCTCCTCCTCCTCTTCTTCTTCTTCTTCTTCTTCTTCTTCTTCTTCTTCTTCTTCTTCTTCTTCTTCTTCTTCTTCTCCTTCTTCTTCTTCTCCTCCTCCTCCTCTCCCTCCTCCTCCTCCTCTTCCTCCTTCCCCTCCCCCTCCCCCCTCCTCCTCCTGCTTTTTCTTCTTCTTCTTCTTCTTCTTCTTCTTGGAGGAAGATCCCTAGTGGTGTCAGGAGACCCAGGGGCCACTTCTGGTCATATTCTGCCAGCTGGACCTGTTCAATGATAGGCCAGAGGATCAAGTGCTTCTCAGATGCTGAGGACCAACCCAGGTCACTTCAGTGTTACTTGGGGGGCCTCCAGGGCAATATAGGACTTTCAGTACTTTAATGGTCTATGCCATGCTGGGGACAAAACTGCATCCTAAACTTCCAAATCACATACCCCCGATCCCCATGTGTCCCCTGACCCCTGTGTATCCCTGTGTGTCTCTTCACTTCCTTTTTTTTTTTTCAATCTTGTTCTAAAACCTATGCTCGTTAGGCACACTACCCAGCTTAAGCAATTTTGGTAACACTAAAGTCCTCCTGACTTTTTTTTTTGATTTAGGTGTTCTTTTATACTTTTTGGATAACACCAATCAGACTTATTTAGTGTGATCTTGAATGATTGTTATAGTAGCCTATTTTTATCTACTCTGTGAGCCA